ATTTGATGTAAAGGGTAGAGAAAGTTCCTTTGAAGTGCTGCTAATAATTCCTTTGCAAAGTGATGGTTGGGCTGCTATAACAGGCTTCCTCCATATGTGCTTTATGAAGCACTGCAAATTTTAACCCAATATGTATTTTCTAAATTAACACAATCATCTGACACTGGCTATAACTACCATTCTTAAATAAAGCTGGAGACAATAGGCCCAGAATGGTCTTGATATATTGCGAGTCGCTGTAGCTGAATGGTAGTGCAAATTTAAAACTGAATATAAATTCTACTGAATCCAATCTGATAGTTGATGTGGTTAATTGGAGCTGTTTCCTACATCAGCATGTCCTCTACAATAGGCCTGTCACAGCATTATGAAACAAGTTGAGACTGTATGCGCTATATTTAGCTTAGGAGATACCCGCTGATTAGAAACCAAGCTAATTCTCTGTGCCCCACGTGAAAAGCAAGAGAGAAAGACAGCAACTCTAACTTAGCTATGTCCGTCTGGAGTAAATTAAATTCTGTTTTCTATTCACTTCCAATGACCCGCGGAAACAAAAGATACAAACCTCCAACTTTATTCCCCAAGGGCTGGAGAATCAACAGTCACATCAAAGGGATCAATGGAAAAAAAAACTTCTAATAAACGTAATAAATGTCTAACTTAACGAGAATAAATGTATTTTTTTGTCATGGCTCTTTTAGATTGTAAGCCCCTGTGATGATTACTGTTGAGTGATTGGATTGTTTCAGTTATCCAGTTCACGACAGATCCTAATCTCGGGGATTTTATAGGTCTCTGGTATTCTTCAGTTTACACAAGCCACTGCACCATGACAGTGAAGCTCCTGAGTAAATCACAGACAAGCACTTAAACTCCTCGGTGGACATGAGTGAAAGGACTTGCACGGGGCCACAAAGCCAAGGTTATCAGTTTAACACAGGTGGCTTTCCTCACCCAACAGTTAGCTGAGAACTTGGACAGACCTCATCCTCTGAGAGATTACACATGTGCCCTGGACCCCATGCCCATTGTTGGCGTAAACGAGTGTTCTACTACTTCAATCACTAGGATTTTAGAGTTAATAAACTAAAGCAAGATATGTGGTATTTTCAAGTAAACCATTTTGAAGATCCTTTTGGACTAATATAATAGTCCTATAGTCATTTATGCATTTATTAAACAATACAATAATAAAATCCCCTTTTTTATTGTGCCTTTCATGTCAAGGACGACATCTCGAAACACTTAGGTTTTGTTATTCTGTTATGGAACATGACGTTTTATAGAGAAAATAAAGGACAAGAAAGAGATATGGTTGAGTGTAAGCGTAAGTGGAGTTCAGACTGATTTTCACTGTTTGTGAAGTGGAAGTTGACCTTTCGTATTGGTTGGTAGAAACGTATTAGTGCAGAGAGGCACCTCATCATTTTGTAATGCTGCAGTCATTCATTTTCTTTGGCAATGTTTTGATTAAGCCCATTCTGTCCAGCATTTCATGTTATTTAACATAATTCTTTCAGTAACAGGCCAGTGTCCAGTATTTGGATTTATCACCCCCAGAGACCTGCAAGTCGATGTTTCATAGCCATGGTCCTTATAATTTTCTGCTTCAGACTACACTCAGGATTTTATAATTGAGTTTATATAAACCTAAATTGATTTTTTACTTTGTAGAGAGAGAGAAAAAAGCATTTAGAATAATCTAAAATAAACACATTTAAGGTTATTTTATAATGGTTTCTTTGTGTGGTATATGAATAGAAAGTCATAAATTCCTCTTGACTTCTACCACAGGCAATCTGACTCACTTCTAGATGTAAGATGCAGCAGGCCTTTTGTTACCTTCCATAAATCTAGCTGAGCTGCAGTACTATCCAAATTGCATTATTAACCCCTACTGTGTTTGCCTAATATCTTGCCCAGATGTTGCTCTGCTCCGAAGGTAATTGCAGCTTTAGGAACTGCAGTTCTAAACTGTACAACATTGTTAAGAGTTAAGCATCCATCTTAATTCTCCATGTGTCAGAAAACGAGGAGGCGAGAAATTCTATGGGTTGCTGGTCTCGTGGTCATTGATGATGTGCGCTGTAAGCCAGGTAGAGTCCATCATTGTGGTACCAACTGAGCCTGGCTTGAATCAGAAGGTTGGGTGTGCTTGCCCTCACGTCTGGACATTGAGCTCACAGTCTAGGCAGACACTTCAGTGTGGTACAGGGGGAATACTGCATTGTCAGAGGTGTTGGATCTCAGATGAGGTGATAAACTGAGTTTCTGTCCAGTTGTTCACATGGACATCAACGACCCCATGGCACTATTCAAAAAGAGTTTCTCCTGCCATCCCAGCCAGCAATCGTCCAGATAAAATTGATCATTCACTTTATAGCTGTTTGTGAGATATTATTGTTGTGTGCAACTTTTGACTGCTGCACCCTCCTGCAAAATACACAGTGATTACACTTGCAGTGAATCCTCTGAAGCGCTTTGTGATATCCTCCCCATGTTTTGGGCACTCTATAGAATGTCAGGATGATTATTTATGAATGTCACAAATATTGTTGTGCCTATTGACATGAGGGAAACATGCAAGAAAAATGATTTATAAATATAAAATGTAGCAAGCTGCTTATATCATGCAAACCATGTCCCTGTTATTGAATAGAAATTTGTAACATTACATTACTTTAAATATAGTGGTATTAATCTGATCTAATGCTGGTGTAGAATTGCTGACAGTCTGGATAACTAGACACAGTGGGATCGATCAAATGCCAACTGCTAAAAATAGCAGTCGTTCTGTTGTATCTTAATAATGGCAGGAAGCCTGTATTTAGCAGTTGGTGCATGATATACCCCAACATCATTAATACCTCTGTCTCAATGTGGTTTTATAATGGTGTTTAAAAAGAGAAATGTTCTATCAGCAGGTAGCCATGTCACTCTTGTAGCTGTCTTATTATTGTAATTATTTTTCATGCTCGCTGTCTGCTTGAACTAGATGATAGAATTATTCTTTATATTGCATGTCGACATTCATTTAGGAGTTTTACAGTGTGTCTATGTATTTATGTGAACTCGCTGTGTTTCAGGGACCTATTCAGCTTTGAAACATTAAATCATAATTCTGATCGTTGTCTTGTATTGATGGGCTTTGATTTTGATCTGGAGCCAGTCAGTTCTCTGGTAGCATAATAACTGCTTCAGAATACCCACACACAAAAACATCTGAGGAAAATTTACTGATCAGAAGTAAGCAATGGCCAAGATTATAACAGAACAGGTCCAGAATTATCTGAATACATTTCTGTTTGTAATAGTTCAGAGAAAAGATCACTTTGAGAATTGCTTAAAATCTGTATAATTGTTTAGAGTATGAAGTGGTTGGTGTCAGTAGGGGATTAATGGTTCATAATAATTTTTCAATCACAACATCACAAGGGAGGAAGGGATGAAGAAGGGCCTTTGGCCCATTTGCTCTCACCTTTCTCAAATACCCACCCTGCCTTCTTCCCAGTACAACATCAATTAGTTTCTTAACTGAGCTCAGTGTGTCTAGTGCCGACCACACACCATCCTGGTAACCAATTTGAACTGTTGATGCCCCACTGTAAATATTGCATTTGATACAGCGGATGACCCTTTTCCTGCTTCTGGGTTATCTTCCCATAGTCAGGAAGACTGGAAGTTATTTTTGTGCCTTGAGCTTTTTGTGGCTACTTTTCAGTGTCCATTCGCACAAAGATCCTGAGGCACCGGTGATGCTCAGATTATTGACTGGAATGAAACAAGTCAACCAATGTGAATTATTTTCTAGCCTAACCCATTTGCATGTATTGCCTACTGCAGCATATTAAATCATTTTTTGATAGTCATTTTGTGACCAAAGATGGGAACTAATATCAAAACCTTCTCTAATTTTTCACCTAAATTTCCTTAAATAAATTTCAGACCTGCATACATCAAAACCCAAATTCCTTGCTTGTGGCAATTGTGTTTCCAAACAGGAGACAGTGGTGCAGTTGATCCCTGAGGACACATTTGGTATCATCTGAAATTCCACGTAGGCCCAAGTCATTGCACATATCTTGGTCATTTATCTTCATTCTTTATGCAATTGTGTAACACTTGTAAAGAACAGGCTGATTACTCCTAGACATTAACCTCAAGGGATGCATCAAAAGAAGTGGCATTCTCTGATGTCTGCTAAATTAATGTTGATACGTTATTCAGATGAATGTTCTTATCCTATTGCATGATTCCGTGTGAGAAGCAATGTTTATTCAGTGGCAACTCTCTCCCTGTTGCCTATTTAAGTGAATCATTTTTTTGAAAATATGTTGCTTCTGAGTTTTATCAGTGAATTAACAAATAAACCTGGTTATGCCATCGCATTCCAGTCGCTTTTCAATGAATTGATCTGCCTAATGACATAAATCGAGAGGCGATTGAATTTGTTCCTAGGTGGCCACTCACACAAGTTAGGGTGATAGCAAGATTTGACAAGAGGTGCACTTTGTAAAGTTAACACGAGTTTTCTTGCTCATTTGTTAACGCCCCCACTTTGACCATTGCTCTCTTCAGAAGTGGCAGAATTGATGCAGAAAGGTTATTGGCTGTCAAGACTGGAAATTCAACTAGGTATATGGAAAGGAGTGCAATAGCCTACCATGAGAGTTACCCAGAGTAACATTACCCATAATCTGGGTTTTATATCCGCACTTACAAAATTTTGCAACAACATAAGAACTGAGTTCTTATGATAATTCAATCACGTTATGTTTTCTTAAAACAATTTTGACACCAAGGGGGAATATAATGCAGGTGCAATTAAATGAGAGAGAGACTTTTTTGATGAGCATGCTCAGATCAAAGTTCTTAGTGGGTGAGAGTATAGATCAAAACATACACACTATTCAAGATATGGTGATTTAATGTTTTCATCAGTGAGATCTCAAAGCCGGATAATGTGCGAATGATTATTTTTTCTTCTTTTTTCTACACAGGTCAGCCTTTCGAACGAGACCAGCTGTGTGGAAGAAATATTACGGGTTGGTACATTTCCTTTTATATCCACTCTTATCGTGACTGCTTGTGAGATTAAATGTCACAGCTTTTTTTCAAAAAAACAGAATCAAAACTCTTGTCAGATTTAATAGCACGCAATACAAGAGGTACCAGTGCTCTTGGGAGAATTTTTCATTTGCAACTAACGTTAAAAAGTTCATCATATTTCTTAGCCAATTTATGTCAATGGATAGAATTGAAGCACATACGCGAACAGGCTGTTTTGGAAAGAATCAAAAGAAATATATATTTTTTGGCTGCACTGTATACCTAAGTAAGCTGTGAGGCTAAACAGTATAAACCCCTCTCTGCACTGCCATTTCCTTTAAATTAATTCCTTTCCAGTGGGGTTTGATCCACACGTCAATTGTGTAATCCTTCAGGCTCTCATGACGAGACATTACTAGTGGATAGCAAAGGCGGTGGGGGAGTGGGGGGGGAGCTTGTCAGTAAAACAAATTCCAGGCGCAAAGATGAAGCACCAAAGTCTGATGATCCAGATTCCTGCAGTTGCAAGAGGAAGTTAGTGGTGAAGAAAAAATCTTAAGTATTGCTTCCACTGCGTTCTCAAGCAAGCACCTTCTCACCATACGTTTAGAGATTGTGTTGCTGGAGATGTTGGAGAATTCTGCAGAATTTGCTAGATAGGATTTTTGTTCGTCACCAATCACTTTTCTCCATTGGTAGCTTTTTAACCTATAAAATGAGAGTTTGTTTTTCCAACCCATTTCTATATCTCTTTATATGGTATCAGAATTCTGCTTCAGAACTGTCTTCAACCACTGTTGGGATTTCTTCAGCAGCAGCTATCAATTGCGTGCAATTATTTATCTAAATGCTTTTAGTTTTAATCTGCTGAAGCTGCCTTTACAGGGCTGCTAACTGTATTGTATGATTTGAGTGAAGCTGAAACCATGGTTTGTTTGTCTATAAAGATGATGAAAACTAAACAGAACCATGTGTTATTTCGGTCCTGCATTTCGGATCTCTGTTCTGCAATTGCTTTGGTATTGTTATCCCTTAAGTATCTTTGGATGCTTTTATTTTACTAAACTGATGAATTCCCAGAAAATATAATTTGCTTGTGGCAGCACTATAATAGAATGAACCATTAACCTTAGCGAGCATTACCAATGAATATTTTTAGGACTGCGTTGGATAGGACAGACAGGGGACTGCATGAACAGCTGGACCATTATAAACTGCCTCTACAGAGAGAAATCATTGAGACTCGTAGCCTATTGTACAAGGGATGAAAAATAGGAAGGCATTTTCACCTTGACTGAGATGGTCAGAAATCTTGCTTTATTTTAATAGATGCTGATATCATCTGGAGCCGTGCTTGGAATCATTTAGTGGATGTAGAAGGCTACTTCTCCTTTGTCAAGGGTTTTGGTCGTTAACAAAAGAGATAGTGGTTGTACACTCTGTCTATATGTAATGTACGAGTGTCTATGCATTGTATATAACAATTGCCTGGCGATGAGTTACAGAGCAGAATTCAATTGGTCACCTCGCATAAACCTCAAAGGTAAAGGTTTAGCAGTTTGTGAATGCCAGCCAATCCTTTAGATTGAATTGCTCCCTTAAAGTCACCGGCAGCTATTTGTTATCCTTTATAAAATGTATGTGGTGAATTGTACTGGAAATTGCTATGATTTGGAAATAGTGGTTCTTGCCGGTAACTAGAAGAGCAGCATGCTGACCTAAGGTAGCGTCCCTCCGAGACACCTGGATTACAACACGGAGTCAGCATTATTAGGGCAATCACTATTTGCAAGTCCTTAGCGACTCCAAATCGCTGCGTGATAAACCCACTTTCCTCCCCCAAGTCCGTGATTTCATGTTAACTCCCTAGTGTTTTACACCTTTGTTATTTTTGATTAAAATTATGGCTTTGGTCCTTAGTGTTTGTAGTTTGAAGGCAGATGTTTCAGCAACAATACTAATGAGATTTGAGCAGCTTCATTACTATGACAAGAGTCTTTCATTCATTAGGATAGTGAGTGAGCTGAAAGCTAAAGAAACTGACTGTGCCAAAAATTCTGATGGTCCATGGGTTAAAAATAACATTAACATTTGACTTATTAAACCAGTGTGCAGCAAGTACATTGTGCATGGTAACAATAGAATAATGTAATTGAAAGGGTGATAAAGCTGATTGGGATGGGAGAACTATAGCAATAGACTATTACACAAATATTACTAATTCCAAATTCCCCCACGGGCACTGTGACAATGAAAATTAACTTACATGTTTGGATAATGCACGCATTTGGATGTCTTGGGTTATAAGGTATTATTGTGGTGTTAGAATCCAAATTTAAACCTATTATTTATTTCTCAATATACTACCATCTTCAGTTAAAGCCCTTGGTCATGTGCGATCTCTTAAGGGATTCAACTGGCTTAAAGGAACAGGCTGGTCAACTATCAACAAAATCTTGTTACTGTCTTATCAACGAGACTTGATGGTATAGACATATCCTCAAGTTAGAAGCCCTTACAGGGAGGGCAGCTACAGATGGACAAATTCTGCACAACGTATTAGTGTTTGGTACCCGATAAGCTGAACAGTTACTGTTCATTTTAATACTTCGAATTTGGACAAAGGTTTGCTTTTAAACTTTCTTTTGTTTTGTGAGTTTACTCCTGGCTTGATTAAAAGGAAGTGTTTGGTATTGTTGCACAACACATACTGAAGATTTGTTGTCATCTCAGTTTTCTTTTAAGAGAAAATTGCCTGTGTAAACCGTGTTCTCCAATGCTCTACACGCTGAGCTTTGACAAGGTCACACTGCCTCGTAGACGTGTATGGGTTCTGTATCTGAGTAGATCCCAGGACTGCTGATTGGCCATTGTACAGTAGATGGGGTTCGCATCATTGAGACATAATCTCTATGGTTACAGTGTCAGCTGTAACAGAGAGCTGTGTGATGCCTCAAACAGCCGTTGAAGTGATACCAACACTGGGACTTAAAAAGGGAAAGAAAGAGTTTATATTTTATAGGGTTTTATCACGTCAGAATATATAATAATAATAGCAATCCTTACATTTGATATAGCGCCTTATCGTGTCTTCAAGGCGACTCAAAGTGCTTCACAGAATATACTGTAAAATGCAGTGACTCTGTATTTTGTGGGCAGCCAATTGCACACAAATATCTCAAAACACATCTCAAGTAATCACACTTGAGTGAGTTGACCGTTTTAGTAGGCAACACCAGTGACCAACTCCACCCCTCTTGCCCCTTCTGTAACGTAAAGCTTGAAGGGTTTAAAGAATTGTCTCCGCCACACAAAGGATTTAATTCCTCCTCCGCAGCAGGAAGATGGATCTTAGGATCTGGCTGGGCCTTTATTACAAATTCTTCCAGCTCAGACTCCTTTCTATTTCCTCTTCCCTTCTGATAGCCAGATAACAAGTAGTTGCTTGTACAATGTAGGGGAAGAGCCAGCAAATGCTGCATTGTTTACAGTTTCCTCGTCCTCACTTTTGTAATCCTCCACGGCCTCACCAATCCCTACCTCTCTGACCTCCTGCAACCTTATTGTCCTGGATATTTCCTCTGCCAGCTTCATGCTCAATCCAACCCATCTTCAGTGGTCGAGATTTTAGTCACCTCAGAGTCCCTTTCTCCTGCCCAAACCCCAGTTCCCTACCTTCAAAACCCTTCTGAAGACCTAATCTTTAATTGTCAATGCTTTCTTAGAGAATTACACATTCTTCATATACACCTCAGAAAATTATAGGAAATTATATTGTGCATTCAAAACTATTTCTTTACTTAAACTAGACAAATCCATCAACTGTAGGTTGGACAGTCGTTTGTGTCCCACAGGGAACACTTTCATGCAGAACAGATTATGAAAATGGGCATGGGAATGATCCAGCATTGCAATGAGTTACTGTCGTTAGAAGATCTCCTCTAGGTATAGTATAACCAAGACAGCTTCAAGATTATGGCCAAGTTTGGCCATGCTCTGTAAGGCTACCATACGGAGACCTGTTCCCCACAAAACATTGCAGGCTACATCTGTCCACCTCACAGAACCAGGGCTTTGGCTGAAAGACCCTTAAGGTAACAAAGTCTTTTACTGACCATTTGTGTCGGAAGATACACTAATCATATTCTGGCTTCACCACTTTTCTTGCTAATTTAGTTTTAAGTTAGGCCCTGGACCTGCTGGCCTAAAACTAAATTAGCAAGAAAGGTGGTGAAGATAGGACATAATTATTTAGTTTTTTAAAAAAAGGCAAATCTATAATAATATTCCTTGCATTTGATATAGAGCTTTATGATGTCGTTGAGACGTCTCGAAGCGCTTCACGGGATATATTATAAAGTGGATTGACTGTATATTTGACACTGGGAACATGGTCCACAAACCCCATTTTCCAGTCCTGTATACTTCTACATACCTGATGCGAGAGGGACGAATGCTGAATTAGACGTGAAGGATTTAGAGATCAGGAGCAATAAAGACATTTATTTGGAAAAATTAGGTTCATCACATCTGTGCTGAATAAACTTCCCGAGACGTTTAAAAAGAGAACCACCACCACCTCACCCACACACACCAATTTCAAAACTGAAAGCAGCTCTTACACTTCACTCTTTATGACTTTGCAGTCTACGTATTAAATAAAAGCAGCTTTTATATATTAAGAAAAGACCTCAGGTGCTGTATTAGCAACTGCTGTGCGCATGTGTGCGTGTGATGCATTGGACTAAAACCAAGGGGTGTGCAAAAAGAAAAAAAGCAGTGAGGGGAAGTACATGTTGTGCATTTCAAATGATTATAGAGACGTCATAGGAAACCGAGTAACGTATCCACGGGCGTCGTCAATCACCCAACCCCGTCAGTCAGGGAGACAGCTGTGGGAAGAGGTGATGTAAAATAAGTGTAACCCAGCAACACAGCGTTTAGCCAGTGAGAATAATGACGAAGGGTACATTCTGAATAGCTGTCCAAGTGAATG